TAAATTATTTTCATATGATAAATATTTGGGGGTTGATGAACAATCTGAAACTTCATGAAGTGGTCAATGAGCTGAAGAGTTTGGGGACCCCTGATTTAAACTTACCCCATCCCACATAAAGAGCAATTGGTTGTTGCTTTTCCTGCTGGCAAATGATACCTAATGCAGGGGGTGTCCAAGGGGTTGGGTGTGCTAAATTTGCAGTAGGTGATATTGATGCATGCTTCACCTGCCATCTTGCAGATTGCAACCCCACTGCAGATGCCACTGGCTTGATGGAGATGCAACATAGCTAGGCGAATCCACCAATTTCTTTCCTGAAGGGAACACAGTTAGTCCTTGGCTAACAACAGTAATTGGGACCAGGAATTCCATCGCTAAGCAACACATCACATTACCATGCTGACTTACAATAGCAGTTCCAGTTGCGGTCATTAAGCAAATCCCATGCAGTCGTTAGGTGCAATGTCACGTGATTGCCATTTGTGACCTGCTGCTGGCTTCCTCACTGACTGGGGCCAGCAATGGGAACAGTCAGAGACTGGTAGACAGGACTAGGCTTCAGCTCTCTGGAAGAGCCTGACATACTATTTTATCATGATGCATCATTTTCCAGGAAATAAAGTTCAGTATTCTAGTTACCCGTATAGACCCACAGATAAACCCATCTGTGGATAAACCAAACCCAATTTTTGGGGTGTATTTTGGGATTCTTAGCTTATCCACAAGTATATACGGTACTCTGTAGCCTCAGCAAACAACATTTGGAAAGAACGCTGCCTAGAAAATAAGGAAATAATCTCTGCCCACCCTCTGTTCACCATGGTGGTAAACATACACTGCATTACTCCTTGTGGTCAAGATTGAATGCTATATATACAAACAGAAGCCTTTTTATTACAGGCATGATAATTCGGTTTGTATTTAAGCTTTTTTGATGTTCTATTATCTTTGTTTTTATTTTTCTGTTTCAGTATTTACTTTTGGATATTAAAGCAAGGAAAAACAAATGTTTAAAAATTGCACGCCAGCACACCCGTCGATAAAAGCCAGGAGCTGCTTTGTTTTCATTAAAAAGAAATACTTTTTCAATAAACGCCACTAAGATAGAGCTCTTAAAGAAAGAGCTCTTCTTCAGAGACGTGTATTGCAAAGGTACAGAAATTTGCACACACTGCAGTCCACGCTCAGGGCACAGCTCCCCGGTTCTTCCGCCGCTCACCCCTCGCTTTGGCGCGCAAAAGGCAGTCCCGTCCAGTCCCAAAAACCCAATCACCGGCTGCCACCCAGGAACTCTCTCCAACCCGGGGACCTCCCTACAGAACCGCCCATCAAACGTCATTAAAAAGAACTTCACCCCTTCATACGTGCGACACACGCGTAGGAAATGATAGGGAGACGTCATTTAAACTCTCGATAAAACTAGTCGGCCCCGATTCTTTGTCACTGTGTTCTACCTTCAGCATTTCCGTCGTCAAAATTTAAAGTATCCAATGAATCGAATGTACTAAATCAATCGACGCAGATCGTTTATTTAACACTGTGCTATTCCACTGCTTTCCTACCTCTGGTGCTTAGAAAACCCCACTTGGGGGACCTTCCCCCGCGTTTATAACATAGAAATCCAACACCGGAATTAAGAGCTACTTTTCCTCCTAGTTTTCTTTTGCCCTGGCACCCCCAGTGCAAACCGGAGGCCAAAACCGGGGGGCCCAGATAGTGTGACGAGAGCGGCTTTCGCCCTTCCCTCCCCACGCACGCCTTCCGCGCTGCTCAGCTCCGGAACCGGGCCTCGTTAATTGAGCCCGGCCCCCTCAGGTCGGGCGGCCAATGGCTGTGCCTTGCGTCGCCGGGGCCCGAAAGCCGGCTGCTTCACAAGCCGGCGAGCGTCTGACTCTGCGCGTCACGCGGCCGTGTGGAAGCCGGGACGAAGATGGAGGAGTACGCGCGGGAGCCTTGGTGAGCAGCGTCCGTGGCCCCGGACCCCCTCCCCGCCTGCCTTTTCTCCCGCGCGGGGGCCGGCTCCGTCCTTAATGGGGGCGTTAGGGAACCGCGCCGCTGCTCTTTCTCCTGCCGCGGCGTGCGGCCGGTCACCTTGGGGGTGAGGGACGGGCGGGTCAGCCGTTCGCTCCTCGTAGAGGGCAAGGGCTCGGGGTGTCCCCGGGGCGGGACGCCTTGCCGCCGCCGCCGCGGTTCCCTTGAACCGAAAGAGGCAGCGTCGGCTACGCTCCTTTGAGGTGACCGGAACCGGGAGGCCTTTGACGAGGAAGCGTCCCGACTTCTAGGCGAGAGGAGGCACGTGGGACATAATGGCTGCGCGAGGCTTTGTTAGATTGGACGTGCCCTGAGATGCTCCTTGCCGGTTTGGCAAGCTTGGCGTCTGTAAACATCAGTCCAGTTTCTAATCCATCCTCTACTTGGAGGCAGGAGAGTCTGTGGTCTTCAGATGTTGCAGAACTACTGTACCATTCCCAGCAACTAATCCACATGATCAAAAGCAAGGGATGTTGTAAACAGTAACTCAGCACCATATATATCCCCATCTCTGCTGTTAATTATAATACAGTACCTCCTGCTTGCTGGCGTCTTGCAGAGGAAGATTAGGTGGATTTTTGCCTGACAAAGAAAGTGTGTGTTGCTTTCTTAAGCAACTGTGGATGCTTTGAATGATTAAAATTGGCCAGTAAAACAGATATGCTGAAAGATATTAGTATGCATACTTGTGTTCAGAGGTATTAATTGGCGAATGCAAACAAAAATATATGTGGGATTTCAGCTAATTTTTGGAGGTACGGTGTTCAAAATGCAACATTGGTTTCTAGGATGTACCTGTGTGCTATAGAGACACCTGTTTGGGCAGAAGTTACTTCATGCATTAATTTTGTTCTGGAAGATGCACTGATTTTATAAATACTTGTGTTTGTTTATGTTTTATTTAAACAGTTGCAGTCCTGGTCCTATTTAAAGAAGCCTGCTCTCATTTAAAAATCTTGAAATAGGGAGAGCGAGCCCCCTTGCTTCATTGCACTTGCCATCTTTTATCTTTTATTGATTTTATTGTAATTTCTTTGATTGTTGTGAGCTGCTCAGAGTCGTTGAGAGTCAGGTGGCATACAAGTTTAATAAAATTATTATTATTTGAATTCACTGAGCTGTCTGGGTATTGTTGCTGCTTATCTTTTTCACTTCCTTAGGTAGAATGGGAGATGCAGGGGAACTTTGAATAATTTATTCAGTGTGATCTTTCAAGATATTTGTCTTTAAGAAATTACATATCTCTACTTAATTCAGTGATTTTTCAGTGGAAAATTGTTTCTGAAAAGGCATATATAGCATATCAAGTGGTGAAATAGAAATGAACAGCTCAGCCCATTGAGAGACTGAGACAACCAGGTTGAGGATAGATCATCCTGGAAGTAATCTATTTCTATCTGATTGCTAAGAGTTGATGCTGACTTGATGGCACTTAATCAGTAATGTGAACCAATTACCCAGCTTCTGCAAAACACCAGCATATTTAATTGAAGAGTATAGTTTTCTATCTTTGTACACTGATAAACCAAAAATATCAGTGGGCCTTTATTAGGGCATGTTACAGTGCCCTCCCCTGAGCACTGTTACACTGCGGATACCACAGTGTTCCTTTAGCGCATCATCTTTATCTGTGTGGAACAGAAGAAGTTGAATCAATCACAGAAGTCCTTTTATACTGTAGATTTTATTTGACAAAGCATGACAATATTTTCTTTTAGCAGCAATCCTAGACCATTCAGATGACTTCTGTGTTGATTTCCTTCTTGCAGACAAGATCTTTTAATGTAACATATAATGTTGCAAAATTTTGTTACCTAGCCTCAAGACCGTGGCAGGGGATCCACAATGAAAAATGAAGTATATACTGTGTTTGCTTGGTTTTTGTTTTGGCCTTTTTTGGGGGGGTGTATTTGTCAGTGGGGTAATGGCCATAATAAATTGAAGCTGAAATAAACTGTGGAATTGTTTGCTATGATGTTTACAAGATTTTTAATATATGTATTATTTTCTTTAGCCCCTGGAGAATAGTGGATGATTGTGGTGGTGCTTTCACAATGGGGGCCATCGGTGGAGGCATCTTTCAAGCCATCAAAGGATTCAGAAATTCCCCAGTGGTGAGTTAAAATAATTTCTAGAGGATAAGGTTTATGATTACTTTTTCTGTAGTATTTAAATACAGTGCTTTGGAAATAATGAATTCAGTGCAAATAATTATATTTTATGAATACATAATAATATATAATGAAGCATATTTTTCTAAAAAATCCCTATTTCTATGAAATTATAAAATCATATAATTGTGGAATTGGAAGGGACCACAAGTGTAATATAGTCCAACTCCCTGCAATGTGCAGGAAAACCAATTAAACCATCCTTGAGAGGTGGCTGCTCAGCTTCTTCTTAAAAACCTCCAGAGATGAAGAACTCACAACGTGTTTATTTTTATTTATTTATTAAACATATATAGCCACCCATCTACCAGAAGGAACTCTGGGCAGTGAACAAGAATCAAAACCACAATATAATTAAAACAAAAAACCATCTAAAACAATGTTGAGGCCCCAAAGAAACTTACATCCATCAACCAGTTCCTTCAGCATCCCAGCTCCAGTGCCTGGGGGAAAAGCCAGGTCTTCACTGCTTTCTTGAAGGCCAATAGGGTCAGGGCCGGATAAGATTTTTGTCTTATCCCCCAAAGTCCTTGCTTTGTTGATTCACAAGACTGGCAGCTGCTCTTGCCTTGTTAATTTACAAGTCTGGTAGCTGTTGATGGGATTGGGGGGAGGTTTCTATGTGCTGAGGCCCAACTTCCTTTGTCTGATTCAGCTGACATTTTTTTTCTTTGTTTCCTTAACAACTTGTTTCCTTCTTATCTACCTCCCTGAAGGGATCTTCTAGACAAGATTCCTGGCTTTTTGTTCTCTCTGCTTACTTGCCTGCTCCATCTTTTAGTTATGGCAGCTTCAGCCTAATCTCACATAGGCACCATGACAGAGAAGGCATGCTTCCAAGGCCCCACCAGAGGACACTATTTCATCAAGAGGACTTGAAGCATGCCCACCCTGTTAGATTTAGTGGGACAGGCAGAAACCACAAGGGGTACATGGTCCCACAAATAACCTGGCCTCATGCCGTTTAGGGATTTAAATGTGATGACCAGTTCCTTCAGTTGCACCTGGAAGTCAGCTGGGAGCCAGTGCAACTCACACAGCAGTAGTGTTATGTGGGTGTACTGCAATGCACCCATTACTCTCCATGCTGCTTATTCTGGACCAGCTGCAGCTTCTGAATGCTCTTCAATAGCAGCCCCATGTAGAGCACGTTGCAGTAGTTCACACGATTTATTTTTGACAAAGCCATGCTGACTTAACAATCACAGCATTGTTTCAAGATGCTTACAAATGGATGGCTTTATTCTCTGCTGTAACTCCTTTCCAGCTATTGATGTTAGGTTCACTGGTCAATAATTACTGGGAATGTAGTAATTACGTTCCCTTTTTTAAGAGAGGGACTACAGTATATTTGCTCTTCTCTAGTCCTCTGGTATTCTCCCAATTCTCCAGAATATTTCAGGGATAACTGACTGAGGTCCCAACAGCTCTTCAGCCAGTTCCCTCACTGTTGTATAGTGTATTTCATCAGGGTCTGTGGATGTGAAAGCATTTGAGTTAACTAGAAGATCCTTTACCACTTCCTTACTGACCTACATCCTCTTTTGCTGTGTTCATTTCCAGTCTATGCTATTCAAATCACCATTTACTTTGGATGTAAAGACAGAGGTAAAATAGGAATTCCTTTGCTTCTTAGTCATCTGCTAAGATTTCTTTATTTGGATTAAGTGGTGAACCCACTCCATCCTTTGTCTTCCTCTTCCTATTAACATATTTGAAGAAGTCCTTGCTAGATTTTGCTTCTCTTGCTAGCCTTAGCTCATTTTCCATTTTTGCTCCCCTGAACTTATTCCTATGTTTCTAAGCTGAAGTTTTGTAGACTTCCTTGATCATTAACTCTTCCTTCCAATTGCATTGAGCATCATTCTTTAATATCAGCCTCTTTGTGAGTTGCCTATTCAACCACATTGACTCCTTTAGATGTCTCCTGGTTTGCTTTCTCACTCATATTTTTTAAGACTTAAATCCTTAATTTCCATTCAAAGAAGTCCCAATCATCTATGACAACTTTGCCTTTAAGGTTTTCTTCCTATGGCATCTTCCTTATTTCTTTTAGTTTATTAAAATTAGTATTTCAAAAACCCATGGTCTATGTTTGACTGTTTTTCACCAAGTGAAAGAGAACATTATGACCAGTGCAGTTCAAGGATTTATTTGACATCTTGTGTTTGACAAAATTAGTCTTCCAACAGATGTTTTAGTAGCTAAAATCTCCTATCACAACCACTTAATGGTTTTTTGAGGCTTCTTTAATACATTTATTTATCTATTTATCTATTTATCTATATATCTATTTATTTATCTCTTTATTTAATCCATTTAATCCATTTTGAGGCTGCTTTAATACATCTTCATCTACTTCTTTTGATTGGATTGGTGGTCGGTGACAGAATCTTAGTAAGATACCCCATTTGTTAGTTTGCCCTTTCTTCTTAATCCAGATGCTTTCCACACTCATGTTACTTTCATTCCAGTGGACCTCTATATACAGTGGTGCTTAAAAGTTTGTGAACCCTTCTGAATTTTCAATATATCTGCATAAAATATGACCTAGAACGTGATCTGTTTTTCACACATCCTAAAACGAGATAAAGAGAACACAATTAAACAAATGAATCAAAAACTTTATACTTGTTCATTTATTTATTGAGGAAAATGATCCAAAGCTACATATATATATGGCAAAAGTATGCGAACCTTTGCTTTCAGTAACTGGTGTGCCCCCCTTGGGCAGCAATAACTGCAACTAAATGTTTCCAATAATTTTAATTAGTCCTGCGCATCGGCTTGGAAGAGTTTTAGCCCATTCCTCCTCACAGAACAGCTGCAACTTGGGGATATTGGGCTTTAGGTCCTTCCACAACATTTCCCTAGGATTAAGGTCAGGACTTTAACTTGGCCATTCCAAAATATTAATCTTCTGCTTTAACCATTCTTTGGTCATATGACTTATGTCTTTTGGGTTGTTGTCTTGCTGTATGACCCACTTTCTCTTGAACTTCAGTTCACAAACATACCCTGACATGTTCCTGTAGAATTTGTGGGTATAATTCAAAATTCATAGTTTCATCAATGATGGCAAGCTATCCTGGTCCAGAGGCAGCACAGCAGACCCAAACCATGATAAGGCCACCACCATGTTTCACAGATGAGATAAAGTTCTTATGCTAGAATGCAGTGTTTGCTGTTTGCCAAACATAACACTTTTCATTCAAGCCAAAAAGTTTTATTTTGGTCTCATCCATCCACACAGCATTCTTCCAATAGCCTTCTGACTCACCCATGTGGTCTTTCACAAATTGTAGATGGGCAGCAATGTTCTTTTTGGAGAGTAGTGGCTTTCTCCTTGCTGATGGTGTCAGTCAAGAACACTGACATTCGCTTCTCCATTTTGGCTTTCTTTTTGTAAAATAAATGACGACATGGTGTAATATGTCATGT